CAAAGACATTAAATCTTGTTTTCCCCCGCTCTCCCCTTCTCTCGATGCCTGCCATTGGAGCTGATTGCCACCTGCGCAGCTCCAGACGTGATGCTACTGCGGGGGCCCCAGCTCTGCCTCTCTGGTGTGTGACCTGGCACGGTTTTAGTCTGGTTTTAGCCAAGTCCACAATGGTAGCATGAATTCTTCAAGTGATCAGCACTATCCTATGGGATTTTGGCTTGTATGTGGGGATGTTCAGGCCATGAAAAACATCGCCACAGGGCTTCTACTGTTTGTAGGGCTTGCTGCAAACCCTGGTGGAGCTTGATCGTAGTCTTAATCTTAGACTTCAGTCGAGCAGTTGAGGGACTAAGCTTCCTGGAAAAAAAGGATTAGTTTGCACTTCATTTCTGCTGTTTTCTACCCAGGGAACATATTGTTGCTTAACAGGAGATGATTTGTGCTTAGAATCTGGTTAAATCCTCTGTTGCGGGCTCCTCCTTGGGTGGGAGTCCAGCCTGCAAGACCCAGATGTCTGCTCTCCCTCCCCTGCTCAGAGGGAGGGAGCAGGCAGAGACTGCTTTGCTGAGCATGAAACGGAGGGATCTAACTAGGAGGACTTAATGAAAGCAGAGATCTGGGCAGAGTCTGCTTGGAATCCAAGTTCCAACAGCTAATCTGTGCTTGCTGATGTTGCCTGCTTCCTTCAGTGGTCAGTTTTGGACCAAGAGAGTGGGCCTGGGACTGTACAGACCTGCTCGTCCCAGAGCTTTTTCATTTCCATGTTGCTTTATCTTCCACTCTGAGCAGTCTTGTGAGATGTGGGAGATGTACTAGCTCGATGAGCTAGCAATGATGCAAACGTGGGCTGTCTGAAGTGGTCACATGCATCCCATTGGTACTGGTCAGAAATTTGGGTTTGCTATTGAAAAACTGGGTTTATTCCAGAAAAATCATCAACTGTTGTGACTAACTGTAGTTTGCTTTCCACAGCACTGCTTCCAGTGGTTGCACATCAGTTTGGACACTCATGGATTCGGTTCTGCCTTGCTCTCAATCATGTCACTTACAGAGTTGAAATGCTAAGCTCCTCCCAGGAGATCTTTAATGTCTAAAGTACTTGGGACTGTAAAGGCTGGGAGATCTTAGGTCATGACAGTGCTACTGAGGATTCAAAAGGCTCATAGTTACTAGCACGGTGAACAAACTAGTCATCAGCAGCACAGCATCCCCAAAACCTGCTGGCAACCTGGAAAATGAGCACAGATACCTCCACTTGAGGAGCAGACTGCCACGCTCGGATGAGACACAGGCAGCTGGTGAATATGCGCATGGCTCACTGCCTGGCCATGCAAGCAGCACAAGGAGAGCCTCGTGCTGTCCAGGATAAATGGGTATGATGAGCAACGGATCAAGAAAATGCCAAATGCTTAAACAGCACTTAAAATACCAAGACACACTAAAGGGAGAAGGCTGAAGTGGAGACTCAGGGCTGCCCCAGAGCTGCTGCAAGGCAAGGCTTGTTGAAATATCCATGTGGAAGATCACTAATGGCTAGAGAGACAAAAGAGGGAGAAAGCAGTGAAGGAGAAGTTGCTCCAGTATGAAGTGATGCTGCTGGGCAGATCTTTTTGGAGACCTGATCCAACTCTTTCCAACTCAAGGCACCACTGGTGATAAGTTTGTCTGCCTGGCCAGCCTAAGAAAAGCAGCAGGAACGGAATGAAGAGCTAACTAACTGTGATATTTATTGATATACCCAAATTGTCTCTTTGGGGAGTTCTCCACGAGCATCCAGTAGCGAAGGCAGAATGATGCAACGCTTCCCTGGCAAGTGGTGCTGCAGTAGGCAGCACCCTCTGCTACTCCGGTATCTATATTTTGTTAAGATATAATTCTGGACTTGCTTCCACAGAGGTCCCTGGTCAATATTAAATTTTCAGCCTGAAGAGGACTTGTGAAAGATGCAAGTCCTTTTGCTGCTAGCCTGCTTCCTCTTTTGAGATGGCTGATGTGTTGGTTGAACAACTGGTTGAGGACATGCAACGCATTGCTGGCTCCTTGTGTCTGATCAGGCTAGCATAAAGCCAGAGCCCTTCCTCCAGGCTGGCTCTGGTGGGGAACACATGCATCAAGGAGGGTGTGCTGAGAAAGGGAGAGCTGAGGCAGCACCGAACTTTGCGCTGAAGATGCCAAGAAGTTGCACTGAAGGTAGCAAAACCAGGATGAAATGGCACATGTAGCATGAGAAGCCTTTGTCTTGGAGGCTGGGATAGCTGGATGGTTTGTAGCTGGGCAATGAGCCTTCAAAAGGCTCAGGTGCTTTCCTTGGGTAACTCCTTCACAGCCTTCTCTCAGTTTAACATGCCAGGATGAGATCATGGGCATGGGTGTCTTGGGGCAGAGTTAAATACTTGAGATTGAAGCACCAGGAAGATGTCTAAGATGCAGTCGGAGCTTGAGGGAGTCAATGCTGTCCCGTAGGGTGGGCTGGGCTGCGAGAGCAACCTGCAGAGTCTTTGGAAATGCCTCCGGCTGTGGGCAGGCTACAGCTGAAGAGCCCCTGTGGATCAGAGCCTGTGTGCTGTCACCTCCAAAAGTGACAAAGCAGGGCGTGATGATGGATGCAGCACCGCAAAGACACTGTTGGTTGCGAGGGCTTAGCAGCAGAGCCACAGAAGCTGAATCCTCCTGTGCGGGCTCAGTGGATTTAATCAAAACCCTATCTGTTGGTCATCTGTTTGCAAGGGATGATGCCCCCGGCCGTGTCTCACTGCCTGCTCCTGGCAGGGGAGGGGATGCCTGGGGATTCCTTGATTGCAGCGGTTCTGCAGATTTCCCCTCCATTTTTTGACCTGCTTCCCTCTGACCTGTGCCCCTTCCCTGTTCAACACAAAACTAAATGCACCGGTCGGGATGCATCTGTGGTCGACTGCCAGGTGCAGACCGTGCAGGGTCGCAGCCAACGGCTGGGTGCTGAGGGAGGTGCCGAGGCTGAGTTAATCGGGCAGGCAGGTGGCAGAAAATGGCTTTATTGATTTGCTGTAGCTAGATGTGCTCCAGGCAGCAAGCGATGTTGCATGGGGAATTAATGTACACGATGTGTACACCAGCGATAGCCTGCTTCCTCTGACCACCGGTTGGAGACATTTTTCTTCACTTGCATTGCAATAAATGAGAAAACAAGGACAACAATCTGCAGGACGCCCAGGAGAAGATAAGGTAGCGCAGTGAGGGCACAACAGCACTGCCTGCCTGTATTGGTGCCCAGCTGGGTTAGGAAAGACCCCGAGCCCCTTCGCACTGCAGCTAGCAGTGCCCCAAGCGCTGCAGGCGTGTGTGGAAATGCTGTTCTGCCCCAAAACACTCTTCCCCAGCAAAAGGGCACTGCTGTGAAGTCAAGCCTTGCCCTTCTCTGCTCCTCGTACATCCTCTCCAAAACAGAGGCTGTGGAAGAGCGCACCTCATCCTAGATGCATTCATTGGGTTGGTCATGTGAAAGAGTGGCACAGAGACAAGTTTCTGCTCCATATCTACTCCATAGGTGAGCGTGCGGAGCTGAGAGTGGTGAGCCCTTGTCTGGGACAAGACAGGAGGGATCAGCATCCTACTTGCCCCAACAAGGCCTTTGCCATTCTTTTTCCTTTGCGGTATCAGGCCTTACAAAAGATGTTATTTTCCTGCCTAGCATGCAGGGGAGCAGTGCTGCCCTTGGAGTTTCACTAGAAGAGAGCTCCGTCAACCCACACCTCCCTGCATTTATGAGGAGAAGAAGCACTCCTCTGCCCATTCCCATCATCACTTCAATTTCCAACCATTTCTCAGTGCAGAGGGACCTACAAGGACATGACCTCTGGGTAGGATGTAAGTAGAATTTTCCTTAAGGAAATAGTATTTTACTTAAAGAAATAAATTTAAAATCCACTTACGTGGTCAAATATCTTCTGAATTTCAGCATGGTGAGCTGGAGCCTTGGCTGGGGAGCGGGTGGTTATCGTCAGACTGGGAGAATGGAAAGCAAACACCTGGAGACCGGCTTGTGTGCCTGCGGCCAGTGGCCCCTCCCCAGGGGGAGCGCCCTGGACAACAAGCCCAGGAGACCTTCCCACCCAGGGAGTGACCAGCCTCCGCTCCGGTGCGTGGCACATTTGCACGGCCACAGCCTCAAGGGCTGCTGGCAGCAAGCTGCCTTCCGCAAACCATTGCCACGTCACCTAGAGTGGTGGCCAGGCTACTTGTGGACGCTGCGGCGGGTGGCCGGTCCACCCTCACCTGCGCCCCTGCCTTACTCCTTGGTGTCACCCATGGCCCTTATGTCCTCCTGCTCTGCAGTTTGTGTCTGTCCCTTCTTTTCCTTTCCTGTGTCCTGCTTTTACTTCTTGACAAAGCTGAGGACAAAGATGGTTTGGTCATGAGTGCTTAGCTCTTGATAGTCCTTGTGTTGATACAGCCTTTTGGTCTGTGCTGCTGAGACCCTGTGCAGGCTGGGTCACACCTGCATGGCATGGAGCTAATCCTCTCCAACGTGGCCTGACTCCATCCACCCTGGGCTGGAGTTACGGCAATCCCCAGCTCCCTCCTTTGCTTCGCTTCACCGTACTCACTGCTCCAGGCACAGCACTTAAGCGATGCCTGGAGCTGCAAGTGGTTCACATGTTGATGTCTTGCACTTGCCATCTTCAGACTGGCCTCCCATGTTCCCCCAAGCCAGCAAAGTCCTTACCCCCTGTGCTGGGGCTGAGCTGTGCCAGGGTGACCAGCAACAGGACAAGTGGTGGAGATGGAGGACGCGTGGCTGCGATGTGTGCCACGAGGACCAGTGGCTCAGGCTGTGCAACACCTATTCTGCAGGACCAGGCTCCCCAAGTGCCTCCTGTCACTGGTGGAGAGCACCCTGGTGATGCGTGCTTTCCCTTCACCCACGCCCATGGGTCTCAGAAAACGCACACCAGGCAGATAAGTCACTTCCAGCCCGGAGGACTGGGAGGCTTTCCTCCATGACGGACGTCCACAGCCAGTCCTTTGACCAGTGTCTCCTCCCTCTTCAGTGGCTTTTCCTCTACATCCTTCCCCTTTGAGGCTCATCCCAGCATCCTGCACAGCATCAACAAGATAGCCATGGCTTTGTGTGACCAGGGGCCCTAAGTCCAGGTAGCAGGACCACATGCTTCTCATATTTGGGCACCAGACACCTGGGGCGGTGGTGGAGATGGAGGACGCGTGGCTGCGATGTGTGCCACGAGGACCAGTGGCTCAGGCTGTGCAACACCTATTCTGCAGGACCAGGCTCCCCAAGTGCCTCCTGTCACTGGTGGAGAGCACCCTGGTGATGCGTGCTTTCCCTTCACCCACGCCCATGGGTCTCAGAAAACGCACACCAGGCAGATAAGTCACTTCCAGCCCAAACCTTGGCTTTCTAGAGGGACAAAAGGGTGCAGCTTCCTCCCTCCCCCCTCGCAGGCAGGAAGGTTGCCATTCCCCTCACCGTGGCACAGGTGGGAGCTGCCTCTCCCCATCCCCCAGACACCTGGGGCGGTGGTGGAGATGGAGGACGCGTGGCTGCGATGTGTGCCACGAGGACCAGTGGCTCAGGCTGTGCAACACCTATTCTGCAGGACCAGGCTCCCCAAGTGCCTCCCGTCACTGGTGAAGAGCACCCTGGTGATGTGCGCTTTCCCTTCACCCATGCCCATGGGTCTCAGAAAACACACACCAGGCAGATAAGTCACTTCCAGCCCAAACCTTGGCTTTCTAGAGGGACAAAAGGGTGCAGCTTCCTCCCTCCCCCCTCGCAGGCAGGAAGGTTGCCATTCCCCTCACCGTGGCACAGGTGGGAGCTGCCTCTCCCCATCCC